GCCAGAAGAGGGTGTCAAATCTCAGGAACTGGAGTTACAGACAGTTGCAAGCTACCACTGGGGTCTTGGGTATGGAACCCAAATCCTGTACAAGAACAGCAAGTGCTCATAACCTGAGCCACCTCTCCCATCCCAACTGCTACCTTTTCCTCTTCTTTTTACCACTGAAGATACTTCCCACAGCCCAGCTGTTTCTTGAGCATCTTTTCTATTCTTCTCTTCAATAGAGTCGCCTATAAATTATGAGCAGCCCAAAGGATACTACAATGGCCAATACTTCTTAGTAGACTGTCTCTCAACAGAAGGATCTTCCTATATTGGTTATGAATTCCCATCTGACTACTAAAGCTGACTTCCACATTCAAGCATATTAGCCAGACTAAGTAGCATGTGACATCATTTGCTGCATTCTATACAACTTATTTAACTCAGTATTTGTGCCGAGGTAAACATCACAGCTTAAACTATGACATTGATCCTGAGCATGAACAAGACACACCTGGGGTCCACTGTCTGAGTGAGTGCACTCTCTCATCATTCTCCTTTCCTGACTCCTACCTCATAAATATTAATGTTCCCTATCATAAACCTTTTCTCTGTTGAATTTACGCACACCTCCTGCAAGATTTCCTCATACATCACGGGTGTATGAGACATATTCTAGCCACTAGCTTCCTCAGACAGAAGTTCAAAATAACAACCTAATTATTACTTACTTTATCTACCAATGGGCATCAAAACTCTACATGTCAGAGTATAAATGCTTCATTTTTCCTTCCACCTGCTAGCCTAGTTTCTTCCATGTAAATCCTCACCTTACTCATTTGGCCAAAAAACAAAAAGTAACTGAAAATTTTGAAAATTCCCTTTCTTTGCCATCTTCCACATCCAGCTGGAGTATAACATATATTCTATTACCTTCAGGTAGCACCTGCAGGTGAATTTAAACACTTGTATCAGATAGTGACATAAACAAGAATCAAAAGTCATCCACGTTATCCTCTACTGGTTCAAAACACCAATGTAAACTCTTTACTTATACCTTACGTGATTAGGTTCTGCTTCCCCTTCAGAAATCCCTAGCTATGCTTGAAGCACAAAGTTCATCCTAAAACACATCAAGATCCTTGCCTTCTGGGTCCTTTTGTTATTCCCCATGCAATTCTGTTGCTGTTAAGTACTTACATTGCAACTCAGATCTTCATATGGACCTTCATCAAATACCCCTCTACCTGCATGCTTTAAGTCTCCTGGCAAACAGTAGTCAAATGTGAATTACCTGGTTGTTATGAAAATAGATCAATACACTGTAGTTTCTTGTCTATAGAAATTCTAGTATTAAGTGTTTAAAATTATTCTATAATGGCCATAGAGTATGAAATATAAACCCAGACAGTCTAGTACTAAAAGATTTTGTCCCAACTCTTGTTGTTGTTGCTACTAAACACAAACTTCAGGCAGGGTCCCAGAAGACAGGTTATATAAGATGTGGGAGAAGTTCTTCTGTGAGTAAGGATGACAGTCTATGACTGAGGTGGAGCCCTGGGTGACACTCCTCTATGACTGAGGTGGAGTCTTGGGTTGTGAAATAACAATCAGCAGCATCTTGATTGGAGCTGATACCTGAGCCATACTCCTAGTCATGCTGCCCTAACTGTCTATCCTTTCATTTCTGGTCTCGTCTCTAGTATGAGTTTTATACTCATTAATTATACAGTGCCAATAAACACTCTAAAGAACAGTGACAAAAATAGTCGAGTCAGAAATTACATTTGTTTCACAGCTTTTCTTCTGAATTAATATTGGGAGCCCAGGTCAACCTCACATTTGAAGTTCAACCAATCAGAAAGACATGATCCAAGCTCTCCTCATTAAATAGGAACTATGACTCCAACTAACACCTTTTTTTGTTGTTTTGTTTTGTTTTTTTTGAGATGGTTTCTCTGTGGCTTTGGAGGCTGTCCTGGAACTAACTGTTGTAGACCAGTTGGTCTCAAACTCACAGAGATTCACCTGCCTCTGCCTCCCAAGTGCTGGGATTAAAGGCGTGCACCACCACCACCCAGCACAACTAACACTTTTTTAGAGGGAAGAAGCCACCAATTTCAGAACACCATCACTTTCCAGTCTTTGAGTTTCTTTCTGTCATCGGAAGAAGGGGTACTAAGATTTCACGCATACCAGTGTTACAATAGATCTTTCCGCCAAATGCCGCCTGAGCCCCACTGCCACGTGTGTGCTTTGCGCCAGCCACCTGCCTGAGTTAGGCCCAAATGAATACACAGAAACTTGTATTAGGTTCAAAGCTGCTTGGCCAATTACTATGATTCTCATCTCTTAGCTCAGTCTCAATTATTATAAATCTATATATTTTATAAGACTTATCGGACGCCTTATTGGCGTCCCTCATTGCCGGTGGATTACATCCTGCCACTGGAGAAGGCGAATGGGAAAAAGGGGCCCTTCCTGTTTCTCCTTTGTTTAAATATGAGTCTCCTTGCTATGTCACTTCCTGCCTGGATCAGCACTTCTCTACTACATTTCCCCGAATCCTCTTTGACTCCTAGTTCCATCTAACTTGCTGTCTCATTGGCCAAACAGTATTTTATTTAACAATCAATAAGATAAACATACACAGTAGTACATTCCCCATCATCTCCTCTTTTCTGTCTAAATAAAAAGAAGGGTAACTTATCTTTTATAATAACTGAAGAAAACTATAACCATAACTATCTGTCTTTAATTCTATTAAAGACCACAGGAAGATAATATATGCACTCTAGAATTGACAGAGACATCTCGCTACCTGGACAGTCACCCAAAGTTCCTCTGTAATGTTGGGGCATCCATCTTTAGCTCATAGGCCATAGGGTGTCTGGCACACTTCTCCATTTTAACAGGAACCCTTTAGTACTGTCTTGTTTTGTATGTAGCCAGCCCCTCAGTAGGCATGGCTACAGCTTCCCCTACATACCAGCAGGTGCTTGGCAGGGCTAATAACAGTAGGAAGCCATAAAAACAATATCAGAGTGTATACTGATATCCTTCTGCAGATTTGTAAAAATGCTAGGTGCAGACACTTCTGATAAACATCAGAGGATTGCTGTCTCATTTTGAGCTTTAGAGATTTTTTTCCCTGTCATCAAGTATGAGCTTGTCTGGATGTCAGATCCTCACAAAGCAGCATAAAATCAGGATAGCAGAGTATATGGAAATATCTAGACCACTGTTTCTCAACCTATCTGTTATGACCTTGGGAGTCAAATGGCCTTGTCACAGGGGTCACTTAAGACCATTGGAAAACACAGATATTTACATTATATTTATGACAGTAGCAAAATTACAGTTATGAAGCAGCAGCGAAAGTTATTTTGTGGTTGGGAATCACCACACTGTAAAGAGATGTATTAAAGAGTCACAGCATTAGGAAGGTTGAAAACTACTGCTCTAGACTTAAAACCCTTTATAGTGTCTACCACCTCCTCATGGTTAAAATAATGAAAACAAAAATCAAGTCTTAGGATTAGGAAGACGCATACATGCATCTCACTGACTAATAAACTTGTCTAGTGAAACCACTCATAATGTTGTAGCAGGTGTTAATCCATTCATATGTTACTTACAAAATTTAGAATAAAATCACTTTATATTTGCATATTATGTTAATAAATATATAGGCACTAATTTTAATATAACAAATAAATAAAAACATTCAATTAAGGTTTATTTTGTAACTGGGAAAGTTCATAGAGCTTAACGTATTTTTCCAACATCACACAACTTCTAGCATAGCAGGGTCTGCATTTGTTCTATTTTAGCATACCAACAGTAGAACTTTACAAAGCAAATATAATTAATTTCCACAGAGTACCATTTATGTTGAGAGTAATTAGATCAGGAAATAACCACAAAGCTGAAATCTTTTACAGAGGCCTTATCTTTCATGCTGATTTTGTTTTATCACAACAGCTGTAGATCATGACATTTTAATTGTTTTTTTTTTTTTTGCTTTTTATTTTTGGAGTGTCCATATTTTAAGCAGTCTAATTAATCACACTTGAAAAATAAAACTTTTATTACACTGGATTTCAGTCTTTTGGCATTAAGTGAATCAGGTCAGCAGGTTTAAGAATTCTATGAGTTTTTCCATTCGACCAAAATCTATGACAAGGATTCCTTAAACACTCAACATGCCTATGTTGTGCTAAGAGAATTCTCTGAAGCAATCTTACTTGGAGGCTTGGGCTGTTATTCAGGTTGATAACTGCCTGGAATGTCTTCACTAGAGGCATTCTGTATTAAGTTCATCCCAGAAAATTAAGTTGTGTCTTTGTGATTAGCGTTTATTTGTTTGTTTGCTTGCTTTAACTCAGCAATCTATGGTTTTATTTATAGAGGTCAAGCTTTGCTAGTTAGGAAAGGGGAGACATGGCTGAAGTAAGGGCCTCCAAACTGAGGGCTTTCTGGAAGCTACTGTGAATTTTATCTCAGAATCACCCATTGTTCCCAATATATGCTATGGCAAGCCTTCAGAGCTATTTCCAACAGTGGCAAGAACCCATGTGCTCACAATGAACTTCCTGATGAACAAGTAAAATAGTTGTATTTTAAATAGGCACATGGCTAGTTCTATTTCTTCCAAACAGTTGCTCAAGAAAACTGTATGCCTTTAAACTGGAAATAAAGTTCACCGATAGAGAACAGTGTAGAGAATTGCAAACTATAAAATATCAGAACAAACAAAAGGAGAAGAAAAGAAAAGAGAAGTTAAAGGTCAGAATAAACACCCAGTAACTTGTTACACAGTAATCCAAATCCCTCACTACATGATGCTGTTGCACTGACCCTGAACACACAGAAATACTGAGAGCAGAATGGGATCCAATGGTTCCTTACACAAGCAGGAAGGCATGCAGAAACATTTCTAAGCAGTTGTGCAAAGGCAGTTATCTTTGGAAACGGTGCTAAGAGCTGAGATAGAGAAGAAAACCGATTCTTACCATCTGAGACTGACTTCTAGGACATCCATTGATATCTTCCACTTTCTCATTTGCTAAAACCAAGAAATAAAATAAAAGAGAGAAAAAAAGAACAACATGCTTAAGCAATGAAGTGAAACACGCACAAAAAAAGGCAACCTTTAAAATAAAGAAATTAAAAACACCAAGCAGAAATGCCACCGCTTCCCCTACTCAGTCTCTCCCAGTCCATGGACAGGGGAGCACACTTGTCATCAGCCAACAATTCCATGGGCACAAGTCAAGCAAAGAAAAAAGAAAAAAGAAAAAAAAAAGTGAGTGACGAGGAAGTTGCTGCTGGTTTTCCAGCATGTGCCAAATGACTGCTGACATGAACCCTTTCACAACTGTCCCGGCTGGATCAGGATTCAGTTTCAAGGAATCTCAGTGTAGAAGCTCCTCCGATTAACGAAAGGCACACATGGGAGGCATATGGCTTAATCAGGCTTTCATTTCTGACGATGCTATACATGCAAAGACAGTTTGAGCTATTTCAAAGCGTGGCCAGAACGCCTTTTCCAGTCTCATATAAACACATTTAATTAAATAGGAGATAGGAACACTCATCTCCGGGACATGTCACGATTCTGTATGCATCAGACCTAAACTGCGTGTAGCGAAAGAGCAGCGAGCAGAGCCTCTCCGAGTTGTCAGAGGGCAGGTCTCACCAATGATCTGGATGATCTCAGCCAGAAGGACCCCGTCCGCAATGTCCTGCTGCAAATCCTTAATCAGCCGCTTGTGGCCAGATTTTGCCAGGTAGTGGTTGGCCCAGTCAGTGTAAATCTGTCGAAGACAGGGAGGGAAGAAGTGAGATGGGCTGTGGGAGAAGCGAGACAAGAAAACTGCTCAAGGCAAATGTGAGACTCAAAGGGAAACTGTTCGGGATCACATTCCAGCTAAAGAAGTCACAGCTCCAAAGGAAACAGTTGTAAAGTCATTTTTAAACGGCTCTTTCCCCTACTTATCTCTTGTTTCAAAGGAGGATGAATCACTCCTTTCAAAATCATGGACTAGTCACTTGTGACCAAGCAAAACTCCCTTCCCAGATCACTCCTGAGGCAATCGCTACTGGGAACCAGTTTGGGTTTCCTCTTTGTGCTTCCCCTCCTCCCTTTAGTTTGAAAATAATCCTGTCTGTGAAAAGGGAAGCCACCTGGACTGATTTAGGGAGGAACTTTGTAAAAATGTGTTTTTCTGAAGAGACGTTATTGAATTTGCCACCTGAGATACTATATATGACAATATTTTGGCATCCTTTTATGAAATAATTGCAAATACCTTTCTGTCTAAGATATCTTGTTTGGACTGCCATCTCTCATTTCAGCCTCTTGAAATGCGTATTAGAACACGGAGGCAGCAAATGGAGTTATAATGCAGAAATTTTGATACAGGATATAGAAGTGTATTGTAAGCAACAGGGCTGGTAATATGACTTACAAATGAGGTGACTCCAGCAACTGGTCATGAAATAAAGAAAAGCTGAAATTTCAAGAACTACACACACACACACACACACTACTTTTGTTTGCTTTTACTCTATTAGTCTAATAGGCTTGAAGATGTTTCAATTTCATAAGTCATTCATAAGCAACTTTGTTACAAGGTAGATTAAGATAGGACATAATATTTAAAAACAGAAATGAGACTAGAGCAGGGGAAACAAATAAGAAACAGACAAAGGTGTCTGGAATCATGGCTCAGCGGTCAAGAGTATATGCTATTCTAGAAGGGCTCCCACTTGTGGCTGCTCGCTCTCACTTGCCGTGTGATCTACGATCCAGGGGCTCAGATGACCTCTTCTGAACTCTAAAATACTACACATTAAAGCATATTCCCATACATAGGCACACAGCATTATGCATGATTAAAAGATAAATCTTTCTTTTTAAGCATACAGACTGTGATAAGAAACAGTGGGATCAGAACTGAGATGATGGAACCTGGTTATGAAAAATCTATGAAAGGAACAAATGCAGAGTCTAAGGAGAAACTGGCTGATATAGGATGCCTAGAATGGGTAGAACCTGGGGTACAAAGAGTGAGTTTTATTTCAGAGTCATGAGCAATAAATGCCAACAAAGTACTAAACTACTATTTAAAAACCTTAGGTGCTGGACAGGCAACCCCAGAGTTAAAAGCACTTACTGCACTTGCAGAGGACCTAGGTTAGGTTCTCAGCACCCACATGGCAGCTCACAACTGTCTTTAACTCCAGTTCTGAGGGATGTGATGCTCTCTTCTGGCCTCTTCAGGAATCAAGTATGTATATGGTTAACATACATACACATACATGAAATAGAAATTTAAATATATTAAATGAATTGTTTTCTTATAGCTATAGAACTTATACCTGGTACCTTTCATAAAAAAGACACACACTTTACCACTGTGCTATACCTTTAACCCTTTTCTATTTAGAGGTAAGATCTCCCTGACTTGACTGGGTTTGCTTTTAGTTTACACAGTAGATTATGAAGGCATTGACATTGTTATGCCTTCCTGCTTCAACCAATGGGGTAGCTAGCATTATGGAGCTAGAAACCAAGACCTGGCTATTTCTGAGAAAGCAAATACATATGTTGTAATTAGCAAATCAGAAGTGTATGAGACAGAAAAAAACTGGGAAGGTTTCCTGGAAGTTGCAAACTTTCATAGTTTTGAGCAACTTGCTACAAAGTGTTCTATAATGAATATGCCTAAACCACAATTTACCATATTATAGCACATTCACACACACACACACACACACACACACACACACACACACACACACACACACACACACAGAGGCACATACACATGGTGGGGGGAAGGGAGACAAATAGACAGACAGACAGACAGAAACAGATACACAGACAGAGGAACACACAGAGACAGCACACATACAAAGACACACTCATACACAGACACATATATATATAGATTCACGGGCACACACAACAATACTGCATTAGGTTGAAAATTAAAGCTGCATTCTATAAATTTTGCTTCTTATGTTACAATAATTTAATAGAAATTCTAAAAGCCATTTCATGTATACTTATGTCAATATTCTTCATCATATATTGTATAAAAGCTCAGTACCCCCTTTAAAGGATAATTAATATTTCTGATTATGATTTTACTATATTTATAATTGAATATATATACATATATATGTATATATATTCAATTATAAATATAGTATATATATATATTCAATTATAAATATAATATATATATATATATATAAACACAGAGATATCTCTGAATACTAATGCACTGAAACTTTTATATGGATTGCTAAATTTTTCAGGGTACTACTAAGTAGACACATTCCAAAACTATGACACCACAAAACACAGGAGATATATTTTTAGAAAATATCAGGGAGTGTCTAAGGTATATCTGGTGATACTTATTTACTTCAATATGTGAAAGACTGAAGGTGTATAAATACATAAGAAAGATTATGTTGGTAAAGTGGCACTTAATTTTTTGTATCTATGATCTGTATTATCTGTAAAGTGACTCAGCTCTGACTCTCTTGCCTGCTCATGGACCCTTTTCTTCCTACTGAGTTGCCTCCTCCAGCCTTGATATGAGGGTTTATGCTGAGTTTTATTGCATCTTGTTATACTATGTTCAATTTATATCCATGGAAGGACTGCTCTTTTCTGAAGAGAAATGAAAGAGCATCGAATATGGGGGAGCTTTGGGGTGGGGCTGAGAGGAGGTAAGGGAGGGGAGGCTGCAGTTGGGATATAATGTATGAGAGAAAAATAAAGAAAGAGAAAAGAATGACTCATAGCTCCCTCTAAATCACAACCTAAACGATTTCTAAATGCTCTTACTCAGTGATCCTTTAATTCTTACTTATCTGGTGAAACATAAGAATTTATTATGTTTCTATGACTGGAAACATTTCTTTTGCTGTTTTGGAAAGATTTACACATTTAAAACATTAAGTATCCTCCTTCATCTGCACTTCATTCAAGTAATAGAGTTCTAAGTTCACCATTCTAGATGAAACAATGGTTTGAGTTAGGGTTGGATTGCAGCTGTCTCCCCATAGGCTGGGGTCACCCAGCCACCATGTGACTTTAAAGGACCCCAAAAAGGAGACTGGGGTCTGGAGTCTAACAAATCTGATATGAGCCCCTGGAGAATTTATCAACACTATGAAGTTAGGAAAGTCACCTACCCTTTCTGACTTATAAAACAGGGCAAATAATAAACCTTGTGTGGCAAAGCTGTTTCAAGTTCAATAAACTAGCACCTCTCTAAGGCGTGTGACACAGAGTTACTCCCTAAGATTTCCCTGACATCGTGGCCAGCATTGTGACATCTAGCTGTACTTTGTTGGGCTGGCTTGATAGTAAATACTTGTTCAGGTTATTGCTTCACAGAGACGAAGCAACTGGAAAAACCAGGGCAAAGGCTGAAGAAATTGCAATGCTTACTTCTGGCTCTATACGTCTGTCAGATACTTATCTTCTAATTAACTGGGGCTTCTGGTTTCTCTGCCTCCTGAACTATGAGACTACTGAATTAGAGTGGTCATGTTCACCTCAGTGCCTCTACTAAAGGCCAATTGCATCACCTTTAATGCTGCATGGATTTTACTTTAAGAGGACACTAGTTAACGTGAAAAAAAAAAGCTAATTTAAATAACAAACTAAATGAAGCATATAAGAACAAACCAACACTTTTATGCTCCAGGTGCATGTATGCAAATCTTTCAGGGAATTTAGGCAAACAGATGGAAGGAAGTTATCTGGCCTTACCACTGGTAAGAAAGCCTCACACTGATCCTGACCCTGCAGACCTCCTCTTCTTGCCCCAGGATTTTCTCCAGGGGGTTGAAAACCTGAGGTCTTTGCCTGAAAGTCTGCTTAGATAACATCCCTGACTTAGGTTGCAGTCAGCAAAATCAGTAACTAAATAAATTACCTGAAAGCTCATTTCTGCTTAAAAATCACACATGCAAACTTGGTAAATTATCCTTTTCATGAACATGTACATTTTTTGTATGTAAAAGAAATGATAGCCTACAAGGAAACCCCAAGAGAAGGACAAACTATACACCCCAAAGGAATGCCTGAAGCCTGAAGAATCATAAAACAATTACAATATAAAATACAATTATATACTATAAATGATAAAACATTTTACCTAGATTATTTATTTACTCACGTATTTATTTGTTCAAGATCTTGTTATATATCTCAGTCAGATTTCAAATTCATTTTGTTACCCTGAATGGCCTTGAAAAAGTAGCAATCCTCATGCCTCACATTCTCAAGCCCTAGGGTTAAAGGCACATACCACCATTCCATTAAGATTGTTTTGTAAAATGCTTAAATTAAAACTATGTGAGCAAAAGAAAACAGTGGGGAAAATGAGGTGTGTCTTCAATGAGGCAGTGGACATGAATAGAAGACGCAGTAAGAGATCAAAAACTTCACCAGTAAACTTTCTGTTATGCTCTGATGAGAGAGAATGCAAACAACCCTGTCAGCTTCCATTAAGTTCTGTTATTCGAGCTGATGTGGAGGGATGATAAATTATGTTCTGATGCTGGGTTTCGACTGCAATTTCCTTGGGTCCATTAACACACAACACAGTCATTGTGTGTAACTCCTTAGCTCCAGTTGATTGAGTTATGTAGTCTGTTATATTTCCCAGGATTATACTATAAATTAATTACAGGTCTTGACTGAAGAAATTGGTATAATTTTAAGTAATATATAATGGATACAAATTCAATATTTGGCAACTTCTGTATGAGCTCCCTGAGTATTTCCATCATCAACCTTCAGGTCAAAGCATTAAAACCTTCAGCTATGGCTAACTCCTAACTTCTGAAGCCCATTTTCTTCAAGTATGTTGCCTAACAAGTGCTATATACATCTCTATGAAGTATACTTAGGAAAATTATTAAGATTAAATTGACTAAAAACTAATCAGAAA